TAAAACATTTAAGGGCACACTTCTTTACTGATTCTAGATAACTGTGTAGTTCATAGAAGAAAATGACTTGAAATTATACAGATTTTTCTCCATACAATTAAAGCAATCAATAAAACAGACTCATGAAATTTCATAGAAGAAAACCGCCACAATAAATTTGAATGTCTTTAAATTGTTTTATAAAGTAGTGGTTTTGGATTTAAATATAAATCCTATCACTTGGTGTGTCACTTTAGACAAATTACTTATCTGTCAGAGTTCCCTCATCTATGAAAGAAGCTAACAGTATCTTCTTACCAGACAGCATTGTGATGGGTGAGAATGCACAGTAAAATCACAAACGATTTTTTTTTAAGAGTTTATGGCAATGAGCAAAAGCCAGAATACTGGAGGTTCTACACAACAAATGATTGCTATGTCCAGTGAAACAGTTTCTTCAACAAATTGCAAGGAAAATAATAGGGAATTTAGTAGATTACGAGACTTAAGGACATTAACCAAATGAAATGTACAGATCTTTGCTGAATCCCAATGTGAACAAACTGACTTTAAACCTTGAGCCAATGGGGGAAATTGGAGCCCCCATTGTATATTTAGTACTAAGTAATTACCAATTTATGTATGATGCTGGGACTGTGTGTGTGTTTTAAGAACCCTATCTTACAGAGATATGTGTAAAAATACTACATATGTACTGATGTCTGGTATTGGCTTCAAAATAGTGTGGGGGAGGGAAGGTAGTAGGTTATAGATAAAACAAGAATGCCCGTAAATTTGATTATTGTAACTGGTTAAATAGAAGATTACCAACTGACACGGATTAGTCCTGTTACTGTCTTGCAGAAAGTTAGTATCTTTATACACAGCTACACCAGAAGCTAGCCTTGCCCTGCAGGTCACTCTGATACAGTAGATGCAGTGGCAGCCAAACTTGTTGCTTTTTAATTGAGCTGTCAAGTTCAACCTTCACCTGCTTTCCATCCAACCTGTGAAATAGGCTGCTGATCACATAAAGTGATAAGATCAGGCTCTACAACTTGATTCCACTTACATCCCCTCCTTCAGAGATTATCAATTTGAATGAATTGAGCTGTGAAAACAGACGAAGGATTCAAGCTCCTTCCTTGTTCAAGTGCCAGCCTCTTGGCCAAAGAATATATGATACTTAGAATAGCAGATTGAAGATGAACCGAGTCCCCTGGATAAATAACAAAGTGGGGATTCTGACAAAGCACCGGGTGCTTAGAACGGAACCAGGAATCAAAGAGATGGCTGGAGAGAGATGGTATAGCAGTGTAGAACTCCACACCTTTACTAGTCCTCTCAACAACTACACACAAGGTGCTCCACTGGAGAACAGCAATTTCAGTATTTGTTCGACTGACTCACATTCTGACTAGGCGCTAATGTTGAATGGGAACTAATACAAGTGAAAGCAAGACTTCCATAACGGATGTAGCAAACCAAATACACAGCAGGGGAAGCCACGGTCAAACCTCTGAGCTCCCAGCCAGCTGATTCTGACCACTCACCCACCACCCACTCCTTCACCCAGCCTCAGAGGGAAGCCACTGAAAACAAAAACAGCTTTTATCAAGGAATTTATTCTAAAGAGCAACTTGAGCCCTTAGTGATCAATCCCTTTAACATCTATGTCCTGACGGTGATTATTACTGTGATTACTGCGGTTCACAATGCTAACCCTAAGGCTCTGAATGACCCTCAGTCCTTAGATTATATTTAGAGCAAAACAATTTGACTATACTACCTTTTAGAATTTTCACGGTAAGTATGGCTTAAAACCAAAAGGCTTCACTGACAAATGCTCAGATAGAATAGCCCATTCTTTGAACAGCCTTATTAACTGTAGTTTCACTACACCAAGAATATTTCAATCTTTGTTACATTACATTGCAAAATAGTATTTTTGACTTAAATACACAAACTCAGGTGGCATCAATCTAGATAATAGGCATAGAATTTCAAGACTTCCCTTCTCTGTCTTGCTGCCTGTTTCCATGTATTAGAACAATTTTACTTACATGCAGGGGGTAATTAATTATACCTAGTACATAATACTTTTCATCACAATTACTTCTGACAAAATATTACTTGTGAGTAAAGCTGACTTCACAAGCCTCCAGTACACCAAATACAGCAGTTTCCTTTCCTAACCTAGCATGTCTTAGAACATTCCATAATGTGACTACCTCAAAAACAGATGGTAGACTTTGATTATGTTGCTCCATTGCTTCTTACTTCCCTGATGTAAAGGACATTAGTTAGACTTCATGCTGAAAGAGCAACAGAACACCACAATCAGATTTATGTATTCAATCAACAATCATTTATTGTTTCCGTGTGCAAGGCATGGACTGTTAGGTGCCAGAAGCAATAGGAAAACGATACAAATATGAATAAGAGGATACTCTGCCCTCCAGCAGTGTACAGTCTAGTAGGAGAGATAACTGCATACAAATAACCGTAACACCAGATAGAAAGTGGTAAGTGCCACAGAAGAAAAAGTTCCATGGGGAGCTTTCTTATCCCTCAAATTCAAAGTAAGCTCAGAGGAGAGGAAGCAGATTTGGATTATTATTCCATTGTCATCTGTGTGGCATGAAAAGGTGGCTGTCAGGCTTTGATGAACCAAGCTGCACCTTAGATCTTTCTTCCTTGGCTCTCTCAGCTGAGAGTCCAGTGATTAGCAAGGGCACCTGCTAACCACTGAAGGGATGGAAGGAAAAGGGCAAAGGAAAATGACAGAATACACAGATAAAAATATTCTGCACCCAGGAGCATGCCATAGTAGCCTGCACTGGCTGGGCCCAGGGTACTACCTTCACAGATGGACAGGGATGAGAAGTGATAAGGGAAAGAACACTGGACTAACCAGGATTCCAGATGCAGTCCCCAGAGCTTAGTTCTCTCTCTCTAAGATGAAGTTAGACCAAATGATCTCTAAGGGTCTCTGTAACTCTCCAATCAGTTAAAAGCACAGAAAATTAATCTTCGGCATCTTAACCACAGCTTTTAAAGTCAGTGCTTTTTCCCTCTTTTCATAATTTGGAGAAAAGCCCCTAAAAAATCGAAACAGAAAACTAGAGTTACCCGCTTTCCTGCCTTTGATTACAAACAAGCAATACAAGAAAGGTGGTTTTGTTTTTAACCATGGTTAATGTTTCAGAAGTAAAGAGCTCCTGTCTTTCGTTATAAACAAGTCACCTTTCTGATCTGCTCAGCCTCACCAACATACGTGCCTGATGCTATGTAAACTGACAGCCAGATGCTCTCAACTACACAGGTTTCTATTTTGGTTACTAAGAATACTTGTGTATTCCAGATCTTGTAATAACCTATAATGGAATATAATCTGAAAAAATAATTGAATCACTATGCTGTACATCTGAAACTAACACAATATTGTGAAAATTTCAATTTTTAAAAAAAGAATACTTGAATGAGAAGATAAAACATTTTGGTCAACAGTCCTCCACCACCTTTGAGCTTCCTGAAGTAGCCTGTTTATCTCTCAGTTCTAAGGATTTAAGTTCTCCAACAGCTTCATTGCTTTCAAAGTTGAGCAGAACATTTAGAGGCACTGGAAGTTAGGGATAAAGTCAGAGTTAAGTGACTTTTTTTTTTTAATAGAGGAAGGTGCCTAAGAAGGAAAGGGTAAGAGAGATGCATCAAACTAACTTCTATGTTACAGCTTCTTGGCTCTTTGCCTGGAAGAAATACAAGATACCCACAAGGAGCAATTTTTGAAGCCCGAATGAGGCCAACAGAACCAAGTTTACTTTGCCTACCATTTCACCCTTCCTTTCACGTGTGGCCAGCATATACCACCATCCTCGAAATGTGGGTCTATCCATATAGGGAGTTTTGCTTAGTGCCTCTCCGGCTTCTGCCAAGGCTAGACCCAGTCCAGGGCTGAAAGGACATGCAACATTTGATATTTGGTGACCACACACCTTATGTGACTATCCAATTCTGCCTCAACAGAGTGAATAACCTCTTTGGACTCTGCCATAAAACACAGCCATGTTTTGCCTAAGTGCCAGCGCCTAAGACGGCCACATTAAAACACAAATGAGAACTGAGAATAAACTGCCAGGTTCACTTCACCCAGCAAACAGAGCCGAAGAGGTTAACTGCTTTCAACAACTGCAAGAATTGACAAATATACCTCCAAGGAGTCAAGACTGGTCGGATACTGCTATGTCCATGAAATGGACAGTGGTCAGTGCAGCAGGACAGGAGTGCTACGGTTAATCAGGCCCCAAACAGAGCGCTGACAGGCTGAGTTTCACCGACACCGAATGACTGGCTACTCCTGCTTCTAATCTGATGAGCATCTTCTACCAAATCACCTCTCCAAACCCATTAAAAAATATATCAGACAGATCAAGTACAACTGGACCAATGAGAATGCAAAACCAAGACGTGGCAAGAGCCAGTGGGAGTATATGGGTTTGAGGGCGATTGTGGAGGCAGCGGCTTTTAAATGAAAGCCCTTGATAAAGTTTTGCTTTTTTGGTTTATTTTCCTTTCTATAAGCAGGAATTACATCGTACGTGTAATGGCTTATAAGGGTTCACAAATTCAGCAAAGAAATATATATTTTTTGAAATGTCATTTTCTGTTAACATTCTTGTGAAAAGACATTTGGCTTACAGTCCCATAAATCTGTAAACCATATTAAATACAGGAAGCTGCCGCAATATAGACAAAAGGGTAGTTTAGTTTCTTTCTTCCTTTGCCCAGACTCACAGTATTGCTTTGTACTCTGACTTTTCAGTAGACCTGAAGAGCCACTTTGCTCATCTATTACATTTTCCCTTTAAAGCGTGTCCTCTATTTCTTTGGCATGCAAGGCTGGAATGACAGTCCTGTTCCTACATACAAATAACTATCTTCAACATACAGATGATGAAAAACACCTTCACATGTTGGGGGTTCAGGCTAAAGTTGAGAACCAGAAAGCTACAAAAACTCAATTCATGTTTTTTAAATACTTTATATGGTAAAAATACAGCAAAAATATTTTTTGTTCAAAGAGGAAAAAATATACTGCTATGGTCATGGTTCTAAGGATGATTTAAGTCGTCTCTGGCTCCTCAACTGTGCACTGTAGTGTGGGCTGACTTCAACTACGGCTTCTCCAGCTTCAGTCATTTATCAAAGCTAAAATCATACTGTGGAGAGAAGAAATTAATGTTACTAATGTTTCCTTAGGAATGTTCCTACAGAGTCTGGTCTGTCCAGACTTGCATCCCTAAGGCTCAGCAAGGAACACTCTTTTAAGTAAAAAGCAAAAGCAATCATTTACACCTAAAGGAAAGAATATCTATATTAGGACATCAAGAGGCCCTAACGTTTTCATTAAAAGAAAAAAAAAGAAAGAAAGAAAACCGGGGTAGAGGTAGCGGTAGGGAGCATAACCTAAAAGCACTGCTGGGCTCTAGCTTAGAGAAAACAAGCTGTGTCTAGGAAAAAACTTTAATTCTCCATGGAGATCTTCGCACATGTTGTTCCTGCTCCTGGAACCCCTCCTCTCATCCCCCATCAACCCAGTAACTTCCTCTCAGACTTCAGGATCCGGCAGGCTCCATCAGGCTCCGGCACGGCCTCTGGGAAGCCAGCCTCTCGGCCCAGGGCCGTTGCCCTGCCTCTTCCTGCACACCTCAGCTCATACCCACTTTCATTCTCCAGGATGACAGCCGTGTGCCGCAATCAGCAGGCTCCCAGCTTTGACACAGGGATTCTGCGCTGCTCCTTTTGTGTCACACGCAGTGCCTTACACAGTGTCTTTGACACATGGCGGTCACTCAGTAAATACTCTGTTAAAACCACCACACTTAACAAGAGTAACAAGACTATCATTTTTTTACTGAAATCAGCCTTGCTATGCTGAGAGCAAATGACTAAAACAGAGAAATACCCTTACACTACTAATGGTATAAGTGATGCATTGTCCAAATTTAAACAAACTAAGGATATGCAGTGCACAGCACAAATTAATGGTAGTAACCAATATTTCTGAACACTTTGTTAGAGCTTACAAGAGGTCAGCACAAACCAAAGTGCTTTATGTGCATTATCTCATTTAATCCACATCACAAGCCCATGAGGCAGGTACTATTATTATCCCATTTTCAGATGAAGAAATTGAGGCACAGAGAGGATAAGAAACTTGCCCCAGGTCACACAGTGAGGGAGTGGTAGATTACACCAGGCTGGCACCTAACCAAACACCAAAGGCATAGATTCCACCAATCTCTAAAGAAGATGGGAATTTTTTCCTTTAATTCTATTTAACAAACGCTGAATGTCTGCTATATGCAAGGCACCATGCAAGTGGTGGCAGGCGATACAGAAGGAGCAGCATAAATCCCTACATTAGAAATTGGATGATTTAGAATAGTAAACACTTTTTAAAAACAGCAACCAAAGCTAAGAGAAAAGTGTTACAAGAACATCTGCGATTACTCTTCCATCCTGATCCCTTGAGCTACAAGGAAAGCCAAGGGGGAAGGAAATAGCAACATGGTTAAAAATGACAAGCTGAGAAGGGAAGGGAAAAGAAAGAAAAAGAAAGGATGTGTCCAGTGAGCAATGCAGCTACTCAGGCAAACCAGTTATACTGGTTGCCTATCTTTTATTTCATTGAAAAGAACCATACCTTAAACCTGCCCCAAAATTGCTTCCTGATTCCTCCAATCCCCAGTCTTCAGGCCATCTTCCCACTGCTTTAAATTCAACAACTGAGAGGTAAGAAACTCTTGTCCATTTTTAAATCCTAAGACTTTGGGTCTTACTAAGCAAGATATTGCTCCCTAATCCTACATTTACACCCAAAAGTGTGACTACATTAGCTTTGCTCCCAGATATCTCAAGAAGCTCATGTTATCAAGACCTAGGGGATGTCCACTCTAGTTTACTCTCCAAAGCATAAAACCTGGAGGGGAGAGAAGGATGAAGAAAGGATAACCACCTTGCTTTTTGTCTCCGACAAATAGAAGGGAACATATATGATGGTAAAGATACCTTCATATGGTTTGACTTTAAAATAATAAAAATAAAAATAGGGCTTCCCTGGTGGTGCAGTGGTTGGGAGTCCGCCTGCCGATGCAGGGGACACGGGTTCGTGCCCCGGTCCGGGAAGATCCCACATGCCGCGGAGCGGCTGGGCCCGTGAGCCATGGCCATGGAGCCTGTGCTCCGCAACGGGAGAGGCCACAACAGTGAGAGGCCCGCATACCGCAAAAAAAAAATAAGAATAGGTGTATCATTGTATTCTTAATGTTAAATTTTGCTCTTTATTCTCCATCTTTAATGCTAGGATTAAAAATTAAGCACGTTAGCAATGAGGTATGAGAACCAGAAATGTTATTAGTGTGGTTTTTCTGTCCTATTTTTTAAAATACAGAAAAGCAAATAAGATAAATAGTAAAAAGGAAACCACCTAAACTCTAATTTCAATCTAATCTGTGGGTGAAATTAGTATAGCAAAAGGATTTTAGGAAGCCTGCTTTTTCAGGCAGAGGCTAAAATGGCTCTGACTTCTAAGCTATTTCAGACAAAATACCAGTTTTTTAAAACTCTTATCTTTGTACAGTTTCTAATTATTAGGACTTTTTTAAGTGACAGAAGTTTAGTTCAGTACAAGTTTTTCCCTACTAGTCTTATGCCCATGTGAAAATTAAAATTTACCTCAGAAAAAAACAGGAATGATACAATTAAGCTTGGATACAAAAGCTTGACTTTTAGCCTCTTAAAAGCTTAATCAAATCATACATACATGACAATTTTTTTCTCTTTGCTGTATTCTATGGGTCTATAATGGGTAAAGGAAAAGGTGGCATGTTATCTCTAAAACTTAAGGTAATAAATACAAGTTTAAACAGGACTGCATGAGGCTTCTAGTGTGTGATAGCCAATCCTTCATATTAATTCTTACTTCCAATCTAACTGGAAGACTGATGAAATTTTACCCGAACAGACCACTTGCATCCCGGAGAAAAGGCATCACACCTAAATTCCTTAATGCCAAGAAAGATCAGCCCAACGTGGATATAAGTTGTTGAGAGCTGCTGCCAGTGCTCTGGTCCCCAGAAGACCCAGGAGTGGGAAACTCTCTGGGGGTACATATAGTAATGTTTATAACAGGCAGTGAGACCTCACAGCTGGATACCAGGGGAGGGAAAGAACAGCAAAGACAGTTTTAAGCATGTTGATAGCCTCAACAGCTAAGGAATAACTAATAACACAGAGTAACTCTACTCCAGGTCAGAGAGAATGGAATCCTCATTCAATGACATGACATAAAAAATCTAAACAGCCACAAGAAATTCACATAATCCCCAAAAGCTCTGCAATGTTAATACAAAATCCTACGGTATAGTAATACCTCACCCATCAAAAGCATATGGCATCCAGGAAAACGCCAGGACTGTAAACTCACCTATAAAGATACATGAAGAAACAGAGCAGGTGGAAACCAAGCTTGATCATGGCTTCTTTCATGTGTGACTTCAGCTGCCCTCGATTGTGTATTTCTGTTGGATCAAACACTCCCATGTTACCACTTGGCACCATAATGAACCTGGTAAATTAAAGGATGCACACACATGAGAAGGAAAATCAGATCATCAGCATAAATATTCAAAATTAAGTAAACCAGTAATAATCAACCTTCAAAAATGAACCAATCATAGCAGCCTTATATGACCAAATATGGACAAGATATTATAATGATGTCACAGGCCATGCCTTAGTCTTCCTTTGAAAATACAATACTATTAATTTTAGGTTTAATTTCTGCCCTCTGAAACAAATACATTAACACTCTACAGAAGTGTATTTTATGTACTGAGACCCTTTTAAACCCATCTTCTGTAGAAAACTACTGAATCGGTAATACCTATAGCTGTCTTCCAGGAGACACAAATGAAGGGGGCCCCAAAACCAAACCAACTTTATCAAGTTCTTAGAAACTTCTTTATCTACAAGGTTCTAACTTAATTAATGCAATTCCCTTCACCTTCACAACATCTCTGCAAGTTGTCTTTATGTTTAACACTTACATCTTTGTGTCAAACATAATTATTCCCATTTCACAGATGATACTAAAAAGAGAGATTCTATATCCCAAATAGAATCCTCATCTTTGGTGCTCCTGCTGATTAACAGATATGTCTCAATCTGCATGGTTAATAAACGGTACCTACTTGAAAAGAGCAATTTAAAGAAGGCAGAAATGATGTAGAATAAATGCTACTGTGGTAAAATAAAACTCTTCAGTTAAGACAATAAATGGAGAGTTCAGATGCAAACGCAGTGCCTAACTTTACATGACTCTTAAAAAGTACAGATTACATTTAATTAAAATATAAATTTTATTTTAAATTAATTTTTATGTAAATATTAAATTAAATAATAATATGTTGACAAATAAGAGGTGTACATTTTATAGTGATGGAGGTATGACCACAGTGAGGGAATGAGAACAGGGCTACAAAGTCAATACGGAACCTAAAGGGCACAGTAAGCACACACCGAGTTCCAAATCCAGACCATTTCATCTCAGTGCTCCCACAGACTTAGACTCAAACTTAAAAAAAAATCTTGATTGCAATCTTTGGGCCTCTTGAGATAACACATAACATTTCATATTTATTAAATACCACTGTGTATACAGTATTACATATGATAATCTTCTCCTTCTTCCCCAAATGATTCCTTTTACAAATAATGGGTTACTTTGACAGGATCAGTGAGTTTAAGCGTCTAGGCTTCTGCATCCCAACTGTGCCATCCGCACAGCATGCATGTCCTAACCTAGCACTGATCATGACCTCTTCCTTCTCTCATGTCCAAGCTTCTCTAGTCCAACCTTGGGTTCCTCACTCTCGCCACACATTTGGTTTCTCAATTATGACTTCTGTGAAACGCAAATGGCTCTCTGAGTTTCACAAATCTAAATTCTCCCCCAAATCCTAGTAGCCCATCTATGGCTGAATAAACGGTATATATGGTATTTACAAATGAATATCTGGATAGCATCTCAACTCAATACCTATTTTCCTCGATTTACAATGGTATTATATCATGATAAACCCATCAAAAATTGAAAATGCAATTAATACACCTAACCTACCGAACATCACAGCTTAGCCTAGCCTACCTTAAACATGCTCAGAACACTTACATTAGCCTACAGTTGGGCAAAATCGTCTAATACAAAGCCTATTTTATAACATTCCAAGAGAGTTTCATACCGCATATCGCTAGTCCAGAAACAGATCAAAATTCGAAATACAGTTTATACTGAAATGTGTATCATTTTCACACCATCATAAAGTCGAAAAATCAAAAGTCAAACTTATAAATCGAGGACCATCTGTAGTCTCAAAGAGTCTTATCCTTCTCTGACTGCTAGCTTATCTAACAGGAGTGTCACCACTTCCTCAGTAGTCCTTAAAGACTTTCTCTTACTCAATTCTGACTTCTCTCTTCATCTTTCATAGGCAATAGGTTAAACTCTTGTCCATTCTTCCTTCCTATCACCACTTATATAGCCCTATCTTGTTGGGTTTTTTTTTGGTACGCGGGCCTCTCACTGTTGTGGCCTCTCCCTTTGTGGAGCACAGGCTCCAGACGCGCAGGCTCAGCGGCAATGGCTCACAGGCCCAGCCGCTCGGCGGCATGTGGGATCTTCCCGGACCGGGGCACGAACCCGTGTCCCCTGCATTGGCAGGTGGACTCTTAACCACTGCGCCACTATCACAACTCTATTCCAGTACTATATTATCTCACCCCCGTCTCTGAACTGGTTTCCCTACCTCCTGCCTCTTTTCCATCCAATCAATACTATATAATCCTTCCAGAAAAATCTTCCCAAAGCATAACTTATATCATGCCAACTTAGCTAATCAAAAACATATGCAGCAAATGTATAAAATAAGCTACAAGGATATACTGTACAACACAGAATATAACCAATATTCTATAATAACTATAAATGGAGTATAACCTCTAAAAATTGTGAATCACCATACTGTATACCTGTAACATATAATATTGTACATGAACTATAATTCAATAAAAAAGAAATTAATTAAAAACATATAGAACAAGGAAGATATAAGAATGGCTAATAAGCACATTAAAAAATACTCAACATCATTAGTCACTAGGGAATGTAAATCGAAACCACAATGAGATACCACTTCACATTCAATAAGACAGCTAAAATAAAAAAGACACAACAAAAAGTGTTGGCAGGGATGTGGAGAAACTGTAACCTTCATACACAGTTGGTGGGAACATAAAATAGTGCAGCTGCTTTTGAACACTCAGGTAGTTCCTCAAAAGGTCAAACCATATAGTTACCATATGACCCAGCAATTCCACTCCTAAAAGAAATGAAAATATATGTCCACACAAAAATATGCACATGAACATGAAAGGATGCTCAACATCACTAATCATTAGAGAAATGCAAAGCAAAACTACAATGAGATATCACCTCACACTGGTCAGAACGGCCTTCATCAAAAAATCTACAAACAATAAATGCTGGAGAGGGTGTGGAGAAAAGGGAACCCTCTTGCACTGTTGGTGGGAATGTAAACTGATACAGCCACTATGGAGAACAGTATGGAGGTTCCTTAAAAAACTACAAATAAGGGCTTCCCTGGTGGCGCAGTGGTTGAGAGTCCGCCTGCCGATG